TACCCTACTCCCTCATCCCAGTCCTGTCCCATCCCCCTCAGCCCCTCCGACTCCCCCAGTCCCAGTCCCGTCCCCCTCAGTTCCTCCAGCCTGCTTCCCATGGTCCATCCCCACACACCCACCAACCTCCTCGACCTCCCTCCCCCAAATCCCACTGCCTGGACCCACCCCCGTCCCACTCAGGACATGCAGGAAAAAGAAGGAATGGGCTTAAATTGTAGCAAGGGAGATTTAAGTTAGACATTAGGAAAAACTTCCTAACTGTAAAGGTAGTTAAGCACTGGACAAATTACCTAGAGAGGTTATGGAATAGCAGTCATTGGAGTTTTTTAAGAGGTTAGACAAACACCTGTCAAGGATGGTCTAGTGTTGTTATTATTCAGTCCTGCCTCAGTGCAGGGATTTGACTAGATGACCTGTTGATGTCCCTTCCAGTCCTACATTTCTGTGATTTACATTGAATTGTCTTGTGCCACTGTCTAGTAGTAGTGGCACACAGTTCTCTGACATGCAGGTTTATAAAATTGTAGTTAATATACAGTTTAGAGCATAGCACTTTTAAAGCTCTGCATGTTCAGACCAACTGAGCTGAAAATTGTGATCTTGTATTCAAAGCTATTAAGATGTGGGCTGAAATAAAATCAGCATGAATTGCTCAACAATATCAATGGAATCAGCATTGCGCTGCTATATATTGTAAAACATTACAGTGAAATCTTGCAAGTATTACATAGCACGCCGCCTTGCCCAGGTGATAACTAAGCATAACATCTTCCTGTTTCAACATTCTTAACTTGTATCCCATAGCTCCTAGAAGTTGTTTTTGTTTTTCAAACACTGAATACTGCTAAGTTATGAGTTTTAACAGGTGTTTTTTTCTTTTAAACCACAGCACTGAATGTTATTCTAAAATTGTTTTCCAAATATTCTTAAACTCCCAGTTTATCCCCCGCTGATGTTCATTGTGAAAAGTATTACAGGTCTAATAATAATATTTGGCACTTTTGTAATTCACTGTCCAACATGTGTTTTGTGCCCTCTTCTGGTGGATTTTTAGAGGATAACTGTATAGCTACCAGCTAAGGGAGTTATATCTTGAACTCAAGTAGTAGAAGCTCATGCTTTTAAGCTTGGATGGCTCGGGTTCAATCTTTGGTGACTAGCTATGACGGAGGTTGCCTCACTTATAATCCCTTTAATCAGAGGTTCTGAATATGCTTTGTTGTAGGCAGAGCTAGCCTATAGTTAAGTAACCGAAAATTTAGAATGGGAAGTGTTGAAATATTGGGAAGCTTTATAATTTTGCCAGTCTGGATCGAACATCCCATCTGAGGGATGGGGGCGGGGAGAGAGGAGAGTGAGACAGGACCAGGAAACTGGGACAAGGAATCCAGAGCGGTAGCGGGGGGCAGTTGAAATCAGATGAGGAGCTGGGGCGGGTTAGACAGCAATAGGATAGACATAGACTGGAGGGGATGGGGAAGAAGGGTCTTTGACTACTAGAGACCACTCCATTCAGGAGCCTGGAATAGACCCAGGATTCCTGAGTTTCACAGTTCCTCTTCTGTCAGCAGATATCTGTGAAACCCAGTGGCAATAAAAGTGTCTCATCCCCCTATAGAGCTGATCTATCACATATAGGATGACAACCTACTGCCTCTGCCATCACTTACTTCATTAGCTCAAGTGGCAGAAGTCTGTGCAGTGGATCTAAAGGTTCATCGGCAGGGTTGGAGCCATGCGAGTTTCACGATGATTCCACATGACAGAATTTCAGGGGCAGTCCAGTTTTAGGGTGACCAGATGTCCCGACCAATGAATGTAAGGTCAGGACACAGGACAAGTCCCCTAAAATCGGGACTGTCCCGATAATATCGGGACGTCTGGTCACCCTAAAACTATATGAGGGGGACCGTGGCAAGCTGGCGCCTCTGGCGCCACTCACCTTTCCTCCCTGTGTCAGCGCGCATCTGAGCTCCGTGCGCGGTGGTGCCAGCCCACAGGGCCCGCCGCCCGGCCGGCATGAGCCTGCAGAGCGTAGCTCTGCCCCTGCCCTGAGCACACAGAGAGTTCTCTGACATGGACGTTTATAAAATTGTAGAGACCAACTGAGCTGAAAATTGTGATCTTGTATTCAAAGCTATTAAGATGTGGGCTGAAATAAAATCAGCATGAATTGCTCAACAATATCAGTGGAATCAGCATTGCGCTGCTATATATTGTAAAACATTACAGTGAAATCTTGCAAGTATTACATAGCACGCCGCCTTGCCCAGGTGATAACTAAACATAACATCTTCCTGTTTCAACATTCTTAACTTGTATCCCATAGCTCCTAGAAGTTGTTTTTTTTTCAAACACTGAATACTGCTAAGTTATGAGTTTTAAAAGGTTTTTTTTTCTTTTAAACCACAGCACTGAATGTTATTCTAAAATTGTTTTCCAAATATTCTTAAACTCCCAGTTTATCCCCCGCTGATGTTCATTGTGAAAAGTATTACAGGTCTAATAATAATATTTGGCACTTTTGTAATTCACTGTCCAACATGTGTTTTGTGACCTCCTGTGGTGGATTTTTGGAGGATAACTGTATAGCTACCAGCTAAGGGAGTTATATCTTGAACTCAAGTAGTAGAAGCTCATGCTTTTAAGTCTGGATGGCTCGGGTTCAATCTTTGGTGACTAGCTATGATGGAGGTTGCTACACTTATAATCCCTTTAATCAGAGGTTCTGAATATGCTTTGTTGTAGGCAGAGCTAGCCTATAGTTAAGCAACCGAAAATTTAGAATGGGAAGTGTTGAAATGTTGGGAAGCCTTATAATTTTGCCGGTCTGGAATGAACATCCCATCTGAGGGATGGGGGTGGGGAGAGTGGAGAGTGAGACAGGACCAGGAAACTGAGACAAGGAATCCAGAGCGGTAGCGGGGGGCAGTTGAA